TTCTTTGTATGCTAAAGTCATAATGATATTTACCTAATTGTTAACCATAGTAAGTAGTTAATAAAGTACATAAATAAATGCATTAACTTGAACAATTGAATATTTATGTAAAAAAATTAAATAAAAATATAGTAGAGATCACAAAGAACTATTAAATTATACAAAATATAATAAAAATAAAAATAACAACAATCATTTAATCTGAACAATGTATTTAAAAGGTGTTTAAGAGACATTAAATATTTTTATGAGACAATTGTTTAGTCATCTACTTCAAACTTCAATTAAGTAAAGGAAAAAATATGTTTATTTTTTATTTTTAAAGATTACATGTGTGCCCTAAACAGCTAATAATATAAATCATAAATTAATAATTAGATAAATTTAAATAAAGTACCTTTATCTTGCTGCATTCCTAGACCAGATTGACTATTAAGATTACCAGTAGCAAAAAAATTTGTCAATGAGTGCTCTATTAAATCACATCTTTTTAATGCAGTCATCATATCACCAATAGATGGTTGACCACCTTGATCAATTTTAAGTAAGTTATTTTTAACCAAATTTAACCATAATTGCAACTTTTCTTTGAGAATCTGAAAAAATATTAATTTTATAATTCTATTATTAAATGTATGTATTTTTATTACTTTTAGATAAAGATGGCCTCCAAGCATTAATTCCTGCATCATAATTCCATCAGCACCTTCAATTAAACATTTATTTTGAGCCACTGAAAATAACTTTTGCAGCATAAAAACTAAAAGTTTGAATTTATCAAAATCGGTATTTAAATGAATTAAAACATAACTCCTGAAACAGATTGAAAATTATAGCATTTGATTACAACATTTATGACAATTAAATCTCAAACCTCAGCATATGATCGCAAACTTCTTTATTAGTTTTCCATTCGGGCAATTCATAAAATTTAGGTCTAAATAGGATACCAACATATTCTTTAGCATCTTCTTGACAATGTATATTACTTTCATGCAAGGAACGCATCATTTCCATTACAGACCTTAAAAAAAAAAAAAATGATTTTGTTTTTATTTTTAAGAAAAAAATGTTAACAGTTAAGGTATACAAGTATTATAACTAGGGAACAGACTTTGATGCAAAATACATTTTTGAGTGGTCGGTATAGAGCAATGCTTTCCAAGTACACAATTCGATTCATACATTATAGAATTAAAAAATGGAACTTTTATTTTGTATTTTTAGGTTTTTAAAGCATTTTTTGACTATTTTTAGGTCATTTTTTAAGTATATATGTTGCTTGGAATTATAAAAGTTGTAAAAATATAGATTAATGTAAATTTCTTTAAATGTTTTGTTTTGTCTCATAAACTAGTTATTTTCACGAAGATCAACTGATACCTAGACAGTTCTCATTGAAGGACTGTGACCGTATCGTTAGTATGAAATGATCTTAATTTTAAATAAGCTTGATAATATTACGATATGTGATAACGGCAAATAATTAATACACATTTTTTTTTTTATGAGATAAATTTTTATAATGATGTGTTTTTTAAAAAATTTAAGAATTTAAAAATATTTTTAAAGTTTTTTAAGGCATTAGTTCATATTTTTTAAGACATTTTTCTTATTTTCATGGCATAAAGTCCGTTCCCTAAATATAACTTATAAAGTTATAAATTACTTATATTGATAAATTTACCTGATGAAATACAAATCATCTTCATGTCCTTTAACAATGTGTCTAAATATAAACTCATCTGAACTGTTGGTAAGACACTTCATTATTAAAAATATGGGTGCATAAAATACTCTCTTTTTAATTGGGATCATTAATTTGGCAGTACCATTTGTCAAATAATGTAAATTATTTGTCTAAAATTATTTATCATAAAAGGAAAAATAGTTTTTAATTATATACTTAAAATATATGATATAAAATTGCTTAAAAAGAACTTACAACAGTAGTTAAATCATCTTTAACACATCTAATCAAAATACCAATATCTGAAAAATATTGATCTTTGTTTTTCCAAGTATTTCTTTGAACAGCAGTTGGAAAATTCCTCCTTGTTCCTAGCAAAAGTCGTACTAAACGTTCTTTGCCTTTAACTATAAAATATCCACCCCATTCATCTTGATGTTCTCCTAGCTTAACTAATTGTTTTGGAGACATTTTTTCCAAATTACATAACTTAGACTAAAAAAATGATTAATATATAAATTTAACAAAATATAAAGAATAAATCATAATTTTAATTATACTCTTTGAATTAAATTACCATACATTATGATTAAAAATATTTCTTAAATTAAATATCAACAAATAATTGTAATAAAAATACCTTTAACATGATTGGCACTTGGCCGATATCTCTGTCAATTTTTATCTGTTCAACATCATTAATGCTCCAACCGAGTTTTATTTCTAGTTTTCCTGAATAAGTACCATGACGTTGACGACATTCTAACGGATATATATTAGGTGATGTAACACCAAGTGATCCTGTAGGTACTCGAGGTTGATGAATGGTCGCATTCTTAAAATTTAATATAAGTTAAATTATTAGAAATGTAGGTATATCATTAATATAGATCAAAAATTGATAAAAGAATTAAATTTACATCATTGAAATAACCATAAAAACAATTTTTCACAAATTTAAAAAATACAATAATTACCAGTAAAGTGAGTTTCACACGATACTTTCCTTTTGTATCAAATTCAACTGGTAACAAATCAGAAATCGCCAAATTCAACCCTTCTTCAACCATATAATTAAAGGAGTCTATGTGAGGAGTACCCAATTCTTGAAGAATCTGAGAAATAATTTAAACAATAATATATATAATAATAAAAAAAAAAAACACGAACATTCTTAAATAATGAAAATCATATTAATAATTTACTTGATTTTGGATATCGGGGGGTTTACCATAATCAATATTTGTTAAATTTTTAAGTGTTGGTTCGTACATTATAATTTTGTTTTAAATCTTATATATAAATTAATAATAACTATTAACTAATTACGTCCAAATTATATACTTCATAATATGTAGGTAATTGAATAATTAATTAATAATAAGTTCCAATATGAAAAAATAAATCAGAAATAGAATCTAAAAACTAATTAAAAAAACACGTGTATAAACTATAAAGTAAAATTCAAATTGTATATTTTTTATATTGATAAAAATAAGATAACAGTTTAACGTTATCACTAGTAATATAGTTACTCTATGCACCAGAATTCAAGAATTTATTATCAGCCAACAGCCATCACATAACAGTTGTTATCACTTATCATTATATTATTACATTTTCAACAACGACAAAGGAAATAATTCCAAGAGGCAAGGGCCAAAGTTTTAATTTCTAAGGAAGCTTGCAAATACCTGCTGTAAATTAATATAAAATAATAATAGTTTATGTATGATACATCAATAATTAGAATAGTATCTACAGGCTACAGTCGTTAACATATTACATAATTCATTGACGTCAAATCTATATCTTTTTCAAGTACTTCTCTATTTTTCTGGAATTCTACCTTCCATTAAATCCTTGATGAAGTAGACAATTATGAATTAACGTTGATAACTTATTGTTATAATCAATATTTTAAAAATATTCAAATCACAAATTTAATAGATACCTTTAACAAAGGTTTGAATTGAGATTTGTGAATGAGGTCATTATGAAATAGTATATTTGTTACAAAGCTGGGCAAGTTAATCATTTATTCAACTAGTTAAAGTTAAGTTACTTACATACAAAAACTAAGTTAGATTAAAGTTGGTTTCTAAAATTTACCAAATTTTTTACTTAGAAGTAATTTTGAAAAAAATACCAACTTAAGTTAAAAGTTATTTTTTTTAAAATTTAAAACAACTGTTTTTTCAAATTTAATGTATTGCATAAATTTGTTATTAAGTAGGTAGGTTATCAACTTGAACTATTAGAAATGAATTAAAAATTAAATTGAACAATTGATATTGATCAAATTTTTAAGTAGGTAGGTAATAGTAATAACCTTCATTTTTTGGAATATCAGTAATTTCTCTTTAGATTATTGAAAGTTTAACAAAATACGAACAAATATGAAACAATATAACAACATATTTATCTATACTATATATTGATTATTGACACAATATAAACAGAAAAATTCATATATAATTTATATGTAGCCTATATTTCCTTTATTGGCTACATTATATGGTATATAATTTTATCACAACAGTAAAATATTATTTTTGTCATAAAATTAAGAAATGAAAATACTTAATAATAATCATATTTCTTAATACATTATTATCTGAAAAAAAGCTTTATAGTTACTTATTGGTTTTAAGAAGTTAGATTAGATTATTTTACACATTAAATTCAACTAGGTAGTTAATTTACTAAGTAAGTAAGCATTAAAGCTAACTATTTACTGCCTAGTTTTACATTTATATGATAAATTTGAATACCTTCAAGACTTAGTATATGAACACTGATAGAAGGTAACTAGACTATAGAAATATTTCCTAGAATAAAACTTACCAGTAAAATATGTAATTTTTTTAAAACAATGGGATTAGTAAAATATTTCGGGCTATAATATCCTAGAACTAATGAAATTTTTTTAAATACTATTTAAATAATGGTTATTAAAAAAGAAAGTCCAAGTTAATATCAAATGAAAGCAAGATTGATGAGAGTAATACATAATACATTTTAGGTTTATAACAATATAATAAAATAAAATATTAATTACACGTGTATCGTGTATTATTTCTATTACATTAGTAATAATTATTGATACATAATATAGAAAAAAAAATTGAATTTATTTAATAAATATATTGCTTATTACCAAAATACACTTTTTATTCTTATATCACAATTTGCTTACTTATAAGTTAAACTTTAATGATAACTACAAATATTAAATCAATTATTATTTATTATACATGTTTAAAAATGTGTACATAATCATATAATATTTTGACTTAAAATGGTAACTAATAGATAATACATTTATTTTACTTTTTAATTTCTTACATTTAATGATGAATTAAGTTCTTGATTAAAATTTTCTGGTATAATGGATCTTAATACCATCCAAGTCAAGTAAGCAGTCATACCCCATATTCTTTTATAGTCATTTGGGTATACTGGTATCATCATTATTCTGTTTGACTGTTGTCTAAAGTATGTGTGTTTACAATTATCTGGTTTGCAAAAATGCTTAAGGGGAACAGCAAATGCATATTGTACTTCTTCACTGCAAATTTTTAAATTAACTGGTTCTATAACACCAATATTTCCTAAAAATGGCATAATTGCTATATCTTTAGAGACAATAAATCTACCACTTCCCCAAATATCAATACTAGTTTTACTTATTCCTAGTTCTTCACAAGATTCTCTGTATGCTGTATCTTGTAATTGTTCGTCTGCTTCGCGCATTCCACCTGGGAAAGATACTTGGCCACTATTTCTTTTTAAATTATTAGTCCTTAATGTATACAATAATGATATTTCATCTTTAACAATACATAGTGGAATAAGAACAGCGGCTTGACGTTTACCATCAGTGTTCAGCTTAGGACATAAAGACTTGAAACATTTCACTGATTTTAAAGAATTTTCTTTGGAAAATATATCATGAGAATTAAAATGTACAGTTCTAGACGAATGAGTATTTGATAAGAATCTTGAAAGTTTTGAAAAACATATTAATTGTAGAGACTGCATTGTGATATTTGTATTAAAAGTTACTTACTTTACTTTGATCTAATAATGAATGTTTTTTTTTTTTTAATTTTTATTTATATATATTAATGTTAATAAAATATTAAAATAAATAATATGATTCATTTTTAAACAAATTTTTATATAATAGTAAAATCCTCATTCCAAATGTTTATATTTTCATATAGTTAAATTGAATATTTGCAGTATGAAAAGGATAAAAATTTGTACTTCCTATTATTATAAATATTACTTAATGTAAAAATTATGAACATCACAATATTAAAACAATATAATTAAGCAATAAATGACTATTGGTATTTGACATTTGGTACGATTTTCTTTAAGTTATACTGTATTTTATATTAAAGGTCAATATGGTAATATTTATTGTACAAACTAATAATTAAACGTGCAATAATGACATGATATGTATCATGTGTATATGGCAATGGCAATTTATAGCCAATGCCCAATATATGCTATGGCATTGACATATTTACACTTATTCTGTGTTTACGCATCAATGTTATCACTATATTATCAATTAATTTGGAAGATACTAACAAAGTTACCATTGTTTATATAGGTATGTTTAATCTATTTAGTCTTATCTACACGAGTACTCGATAGTCGATAAAGTTATATTCGTGATAGACGAATGGATCTTTACGGGAAAAATTCTAAATTATTCCAATAAGAAGTCACTACTCACTACACTATTATCACAAAAGTCAATTTTAAAATTCATTAAATCAAATAATAATTATTAAGTATATTAAGTATAATAATACTAATAATAGGTAGTTAAAATAAAATAGATATATCAAAATTGGAAATTCATTGTCATAACGTAATACGTATTAAAGATTAAAGTGCTAATAATAATATTTAATAATTAAGTATAATAATAGTTAAATCAAAATTCACTTTCATTACGTGCTAATAATAGAGTAATTAATAATTATATAATAATATAATCTAATAAAAACGTTATTTTTTATTTTTCAAAGTAAGTTGGTCATTTGTACAGTGAATATTTAATACTTCGTCATTTAAATCTTCCATTAAAGAATCTCTTATTAGTTGGCTCTCATTTGTAGATAAAGTGGTAACAGTTAAATATATTTGTTTGATTTTTTGTTTTTTTAAACGGCTTTGTTTTTTATAATCTATATTCTGTTAATTATTGTAATTAATGTCAGTATTACCATTGATTATAGAATTTTAAAATCAATGGTATTACCTATGGTGATGCTTGAAGAAATAATGATCATTTTATTGCAATTTTTAATAATGTTTTTTTTTCCTCTTTTCATTTAGATTCAACCGTTTATACGTTCTGAACATAATTTCCATTTTTTGTTTTATCTCATCATCTAATGAAAAAAAACTGGATTACTTATTTCTACTGCGTTTTTTAAAACAAAATCTTAATATTGATATTTTCTTACTATTTCAAAATGGATTTAAAATATTGAACTTAGTAATTGCATGTATGTGTTTGTAAATATTTAAATATATAATATTGTTTATGCTAGAGCATTTAAATGTGTAAATACAAATATTACATTTATTGCAACGTAAAGCACAATTACTGCATATTATATTAACTTTTACTATTGTATATTTAATTTTTATATCTGATTCAGAGGTAATCAATCACATATTATCTTCAACTTGTTCTATTTTATTTTATTGAATGCCTTCAGTTTATTACGGCTATTAATGATTTGTAACATTTTTGAAGATTTTTTTTCTTTAGATATTTTTATCACTCTTTTAAATAACTTGTCTCTTATTAACAACATTAATACATTTATAAAGAAATCTAATCTTCTGCATTGTTTACCATTCAAGTAGCAATATTTAATATTCTTATGCAAATCTTCAAGGTACATGTTTGTATTTATACCAATATATTTACGATTGAAAATCGCCCATTTTTCTATTCTTGACAAATGTGTGATAATAAAATATTGGCCAGAATTAACAGTTTCTTCATAATATTTTAGTTGATTAGTTATTGAAGATAGTTCTTTGTAGTATTTATCTTCATAAATTTAATTTAATGAAGCTTTTAACGTTTTGAAAACTTAAATTTTTTTATCTTGCGATTTTATTTTTGAAAGATTTTTACTCCAATTTCTTTGCACATGCCTTGACGCCTTGTACATAATAGTTTTTTAGTAGTTGAGCCCACTATAGAACTCCATGCATTATATTATGATATAACTAAAAAGTAAAAATTAATCTCCAAGTGGGGGAAAGATCAAATCCTCCACATATTTTATTATTTTTAGATTTTATTGTCATTAATAATTGTTTATTTATTTTTAAATGTGTAAAATACCATCCACGATTTTGTTGAAGTTGCATACAACAAACATTAAATAAGTTAATAATATTCTTCGATTTTTGTGTATACAATATTATTATTATTATTAAATCGGTTTTTATAACAGCAAAAACTTAAAACACATATCTTCATAAATATGAAAGTATTTACATAATATTACTAATTTTTAAAAAGTATATTTCATAAATTCTCTGATATAGTTCTTTTAAAAATAATGTTTTATGTCTTTATTATATCGTACATATTTTTTAGTAGGGGGGCTGACGAAGGGGCTGAATTGTTTTCTTGGAGGGCTAGAGCTCCACCTTGCCCCCCCTCCTTGGTGCCGTACCTGGCATTGGTGCTTATTTTAACTAAACAAATGTAACATGTCCAGAGTCCGGACATACACTATTAGGCAAAAATAATAAATCAATTATATTTAACACAAATAGTATATTTTTAACAATCTGAATTGTATAATATTAAATATGAATAAAATAAAATTGTAATAACTTGATTAACAAATATTATATCCATAAAATACGTGTAAGTATATCAGTATTAAGATTTAAAAACAATTGTTATTTGTAAGAAGTCCATTCTAATTCCGCTAAAAAATTACCCAAAAAAAATGGAACGTTCTAGTCGAGTTAAACTAGCAAATTAATATTCTACAGTTAATTAAACACTATATCAAGTTCACACATAATTTAAAATGTATATATTTAAAAAAAACTTTAGGTAGGTATTTGAAGAATAGTAATAAACTTTAAATGGCTCTCCTGAAAATGTTGGTATTTGTGACATCATATTCGACCTTTTAGCTACCGATATATGGGTACTACCCGTTACCGAGTACCAAGCATTTTTGTGAAGAACGTGCGAGAACGTTCTAGAATGTTCGGTAGCGAGTAAACCTATATATATCGGAATAACAGGCAGTCGGTCGAGTTAGTCGTTATTTCGTGCTGTCGTGGGATAGACTTGTACTACAAGTAATAGTGTTGCATCGAGTTATTTTTCTTGTCGCCTTTTTTTCAAATACAAAATTATATACAAAATAATATATTTATGCTAATATAAGTTCAATTAACAAATCATTTTTGTGGAATAGCAGACATCTTAAATTATCGAAATCATCAGTACCCACAATTTTAAGAAAGAGATGAAATCAGACTTGGAAGGGTGAGTAGTAGATGGACAGATTAGATTAGATGTAGATTTGGCCAGAATATACTATATTACATATTATATATATATTAATACAGTGGCGGAAATATCTTTGTTCTGAGAGAGAAGGTGAATTTAAATATTTAATTTTTATTCGGCAGAAGCAAAAAAAGAAAGCCATAAAATAATAAACTAGATACACCTAATACCTATTATGTTATTGTGAGAAAATTTCTTAAGGTTTTTTGGTCTTAAATTCAAAGTCCTATAATATTAATAATTGATGTAACCTACCTAGTACCTATAGTAGTGACAAAAATCTCAAGGGGGGGCGGTCCACCAATTACCCCCCTAATATCCGCCACTGTACTGATAATAATAAACTAAAACTCTTATTGAGTTTAACAACTGAACACTAAAAAAGTGAAAATTATTTTAAGTCTTTCGGACGTTACTTTATAACAGTTTAAATTATTGTTTAATTGCTTATTATTTTTTTTATTTTTTATTTTTATTGTCATCATAAAGATAATTACGTCTAAAAGGTAACGGTGCAGAATACAAAATAACAATAACAAGCTTTATAACTAAAATATAAGTTACATAACTGGTTTTCTAATTAGTAGAGAAGATACCTTAATTTAGAGATAGCAAAAAAAGAAAGTGAATTGGGCAAGTAAAAGAATAACAATTTTTAGAAAAAATCTCAGAAATTAAATCCGGTCCAGCAAGCGGGGTATTAGCACAGTTTTGATAAACCTTCAAAAACTTTGGAAATTGTAGGATTACAATTACTTAAGATTGACACTTAATAGTACTAAGCCATTAAAAGACATGTTTGAAATGTTAGCAGGGGTTGAGTAGATTGAACTGAAAAATTGACCGTACATATTAACTATAACATTAAATCATCAGGCTAAGAATTATCAAGCTCTAATAAAGCAGGAAAATAATTTACTTTTTTACAGTTTTTTACAGAGGTCCTAAAATATTTAGGATTAGATATTAAGTTATTTTGTGCTTTGCACATTAATTTGAGTAACAACGTGTTTAGTTAAGGTTTTGCATAGAGACATAGGGTCCTAACTTTTGAAAATTCATTGTAAAGAAAACTGAAAGATTTGTTTAAATTTTTTATGTATTTTGTTTTTTTCCTGATTAGTGTTAATTCTTTAGTAAACCAGTGTGGATAAGCTAATTTACGTGAGAACAGTAGGGACAGTATCATCAATGACTGAAAACATTTATAAAATGTAATTTTTTATTAATGAATTACCGTAAAATATTTTAGCGCCTCAGTTATGGTCACACTGATTATGTGAAAAAGTTCTTGATTTTTCAATATAGTAATGAAGTAGGTATTCAAGAAACTATAGTAAAATCAGTAATCACAATTCACAATAATTCCTTATTACATTTCGTACTTGACATCAATTGTTATTTTGTTACATCGTTGTTGAGTGTTGTCACTTGTCAGTATTGACACTATTCGTATTTCGTTGATCCGTGTGTGTTTTAACTGTTTTAAGACTTAATCGTCATATGACTTTAATTTCTACACGTTTTTTCTTGTGAATACTGTATAGTGCGATCGTAATAATTTTTAGTTATCGTGTTGAGTAGTAGAAATTAGAATATCAGTAAATTTTATTTTTGACATTTCGTCGTGTGCATTTTGGGAATTCTAACAGTATCACTTTTGCGTCAATTTCGCAATTTTACGGGAGTCGACCTACTACAGCAAATCAAACATGTTTCCTAATGCATTAACAACCGACATTTTTGGAAACGATAATCCATATAGGTATGTTGAAATGGATAATTATTTGTTGGATAACAAATGACTTATTCTCATCTCCAAGTATTGTTTAATGTGTTCTTATCCATAATTTTATTTTAAATATTGTGTGATCCTTAATTAACAGACAGCGTATTTAAAAAAAGAAAAAAAACTACACTTATATCAATTAGTATAAAAATCTACAATTTCTTTAAATTTTCAAAACTATATACACGTCTCACATTGGCTTATCCAAAAAAAAATGTAGATGAATGAGAGGTCCCAATTAACTTAGAAATGTAGTGTATTACCCTCACAGCCAGTCTATACTTTAATTTTGAATTTCTGCCCATGAGATTTTTTTAAATGCTCAATGGTTCTATCTGTGTTCGATCTAGTCATCACTTATCAGTCCACCATAACTATCATTAAGGAAACATTAACATTATAATAACTTTAAATTAATTATATACTTTCATTGATCTTCAATATCATATATCTCTGTAACAATTGGTTCATCTGTCTTCCATTAGTTTAACTTCTCCTATAATTTTTAGAACCAAGTAAACTACAATTGCTCATTTGATCTAAAATTTAGTAACTATTTTTGATTTATTTAATCCTATTATCTCTTATATTTTAATTGTATGATCAGTATTTAGTTAAATTTTTATTAATAAATAAGGTTTTCTTTTTAAAATTTAATAGTTGATAATTGTATCATAAGTGATCTACATTTAGTTCATTGGTATCATAAGCTATCTACTATAATTTTTCATGATTTATGTATACCACACAGATATAAATGATTACCATAATTTATATATAAATAGCTTATTAAAATTTTTAAAGTTGACTTTATTAATTATTAATTATTAATTTATGAAAAAATATGTTGCATAAAATAATTTTAAATAAGTTAAACATAAAAACTATTACCATTATAAAGTTAGTTATAAAAAATTACTTTTATATTAGGTACTCACAAAAAGTTGCTTTTGTGTCATTTAAAAACTCGTAAAACATTAAATCCTTTAATATAAATCATCATTATTACTCTTAAACCTCTTTTCAAGCAATAAAGAAGTACCATTGACTCAAATTGAATAGTTTTCTTTTATAATACACTTAAAGCACTATATTCTGTTTAATAATTAATAGTTAACATAAAACTGTTTGAAAAAGGGTATTATTTTGTGATACATTCTAAAATTTTACTCCATATTTTATCTGAGTATTTATCTTTTTCAGCATTAAGTTTGTATAACTCAAATCTTATGCCAAATTTCTTAAACAATCATCAAACATTTATTGTTAGAATTTAATCATCAATAGTATGCGTTTGGTTAGAACCAAACATAAATAATTAATTAATGGTTTATGACTGGTACTTTTAATTCTAGACTTGAGTAAATTATTAACAATTGTTTTTATGAAATCTAACATAAAGTCATGGAAACTTAATAGTTATTTTAAAAAAATAGCTTAACAAAAATACTGGTTTCCATGAGAAGTATAATATAGTGTAAAATATCAACTTTCAGATATAATTAAATATTTACATATATTTTAACAAAAATTATCAATTATTTTATTTAGAAATTCAATGCGCCAAATGGACCAAATGATGAATTCATTTTTTGGTGGATTTCCTGATCCGATGGCTGGCATGATGATGCCATTTGGAGGTGGGATGTTTGGAAATTTTGGTTCTATGATGAGTAATATGAATATGATGAATAGTGGTAATCATCCAGGTCAATCATTTAGCAGCAGCAGTACATTTATGTCATATTCATCAAATGGACCAAACGGGCAACCTCAAGTACATATTTTATAATATATAATATATTATTTTACATTGAAGATACTTATTTCCTTTTGTTACAATATTTTCTAGGTATATAAAGCTTCTACTTCTACACGTACTGGTCCAGGAGGAATAAAAGAAACAAAAAAAGCTGTTAGTGATTCAAGGACAGGTGTTAAAAAGTTAGCTATTGGACATCATATTGGAGATCGTGCACACATTGTAGAACGTCAACAAAATATGTATTCAGGAGACCAAGAAGAAAATCAAGAATATATTAATTTAGATGACAGTTAGTATTATTTATTGTCTATTTTCACAAATAAATTAACATTTTGGTGAGATTAAAGACTCCATAATATTTTCTATAAATTATATATTATTATGCTTAGTATTTACTAATTGTTGAATTGAGTAGGATAACTTAGTTGAAATTAGGGGAAGGGACCAAGTTCTACCAAATTTCTACTATACTATTTGTGACAATGTCTTATTTAATGATTTGCATGAAATGTTTTAGTGTTATAACAGTTAATACAACAAAGTATTGTTTCTTAACTACTCAATTACCTGTTGGTTTTGGATAAATTCATTAGATTCTACCTTAATTTTTCAATTAAACTCTTAAATAGTGAAAGAAACATAATGAATTTACATTATACACGTTTAAACTAATAAATAATAAAATTTATGGTCACAGTTCATTATTTAAGAAACGTTTAAGTATTTATATGCAATGCCTTTAATTTTATTGAATATCTGATTTTCTCTTTGTAGGCAAAATTATATCACTGTTATTTAATTATTTTACTCAATCATGATCTATGACTAAAAACAAGCATATTTAAAGTATTTTACATTTGTACAAGAAAGTTCGTGGGCTGCAAAAATAAATTATTTAATTTACTATGAACAATTAAATATTTTTACATTTTTTCAGTGTGGTTGAAGTTGCATAAAAATAAGTTGTGGGCCACATGATTTATTTTAACATGGTTTATTTTAAAACATTTAGAGTGTAATTAGATGTATTGAAATGAAAGAATGACTAAAAGATGTGTTAACTATTTTATTGTGTGTTTAGTTGTACTAAGTGTAAAGAATATAAATTTTCCAATACATAAACCTTATTCATCTCAAAAAATATAATAAAAGTAGAGTGATACATTTCAAATTTCTGTATTTGTGATTTATTTACTTTTCATTGATAGTAATACTATTATTTTACATGGATATTATAATATTTTATAATGAATGACAACCTGACCTAACAATTTTTATTTTTAGATGAAGGTGAAGAGTTTGACAACGAATGGCGCAATAAAGCTCAGATTTTGAATTCACATCGTAGTCGTTACTTGCCCTACACTCCTAGGTATGTATAATACATTTTTATTTTTTATTATGTATGAAATAAATATTAGAATAGTAGTGAATATTAATCTTATTAAGAAAAAAATTGCTTTTAATTAGATAATATAATTATTACACAATCATAATTACATAACATATTCTTAAGTAAGTATTTATTTTATTATATTAGGTCAATAAATATATACAAATGTCAAAATGTACATAATTCACTGTCATACATTTTTATATTTAATTTATATAAAATGTTTTCCAAGTATATAAAATATATAAAATAGCTCATACATTTTTTTTTTCTTACAATTTTAACTTGAAATTTTTAAGTTATTTATAATTAATAAGTTTTCTAATGTTTTTGATTACTAAAAACTCTTCTTTTTAAATATAATAAAAGAACATAATAATTTTTGATTCTGAGAGTGATGAATATATTGGTACAGTGATATGTGCTGTTTTGTTTTTTAATTTTCAATTTTTTGAGTTAATAAAACTGCTTCATTTATGAGGTTTTCAGTGAGCTTCTTTTGGTAATAAATTAGGTCTAGTTCACACTTAGTACATATTAATAATTTCAAAATCTTTTTAATTAATTATTATTAAATTAAAAACATGGAAAAACTGAATTTTTATATTATCCAGTGTTCGAACAAATACATATTTATATTTGTATTGGCATTTGATAACATAATAACATTCTTTTTTCTGTGTGTAAACATTTACCCATCAAGGTTTAAATTTTTTATGAAATTTATCAAATAATTAATGTGAATTGCTTGTATCAAAGAATAATTCAACCTACCATATTTCTGTGGATAAATAAATATTGTATATAAATATAAATACATATTAATAAATGAAATATCCTTAGAAATTAAGTCTGACAGACTACCATTTAGAATCAATTTTTAATTTTATTTAATGCTTCATCATTGAATTTAAATTTAATATTACAGTATCCTTTTCAATGAGGTGCACTGTATGTTTTAATACATTAGAGAGATTTCCACAGTTGTTTAATTTATATATCTAAGCATGATTAGAAAATTTATTTTAAAGTTAAAGAGGGATGATATTTTTTTATGAATTTTAAGTTTTTCTGTTTTTATATTAGAATTTTAATTTAACTGCACTTGTGTTTAATTTTGCTTTTTAAGAATTTAGATATTTACACTTCTAAATACGTGGATACTTTTTAATATTTTTAGTTGATTTTATGTTTGTACAAACTGGTATTATTTTTATTTTTATTTTATGTTTATAATTAGAATTCAAAATTCTTCAATTCCTTTAAAAAGGAATCTCAAGGCATTACCCCCTCCTTCAACATCACGTAACAGGTATGCGTAGTAATAATACAATTTTAAATTAATCATAGTTATTATTTTTAATAAATCTTATTAAAGATATCATATTTGTTTATGTTTGTAAACAATAAATATTTTGTTTGCTTAATTAATATAGGTGTTTTTTATGCTTATTTTATCATAAAACTATACTATAATGGTTTATAAATATTGAATAATATTCAGTGGCGTACTGAAGGATGTTTTTTTTATTTTTTTAGATATCTACCTAAAATGGTTAGATGTGTAAAAATTGTTAAAAATACAAAAATATAAAAAAAGTTCAACAAAATTGATTTAAATTTTATACATTTATTTAGGATAAATAAAAATGCATTTTGTAAGTGGTAGGTACTTAATTTTGTGTTTTACTTCAATTTTTAAATAAATTAATATTAAATCATTTTTTTTTGAAATTTGATTTTTAAATTAACAATACCTCTATATATCAAGTCTTATTAATAAAAACTTTGAACTTACTACAATGTCTTACAGCACATATTTCTGTATCTTCCATCTATTTTTTATTCATATGGATTTTAACTATCCAATATTTATTTTTATTTATTTATTACTATTAAGTTATAACTTGCCAAACTATATTAAAAATTGGAATTTTCTGATTTTACATAACAATGACACTCTTTCAGTTTTAGTCAAAAAGTTTAAAATTTTTATACAAATGCTTTTTTGTTTGTAATTTTTATCAATTAAAAAAGTTATAAATTAATAACTGCTATGTAGATTGTGTATACTTGGTAAGTTTACAATAACTTATGTTAACTTTGTGCAATTATTTACTAAAATATACTCAAAAATATTTTTAAATTATATATAAATATTAATGTATTTTGTTTTTTCAGTGATGTGTTGCCTATAGAAGGTCAGCAAGATCAAGGTAGAAAACGTGCAGCTAAGCAGCGCACTCCTAAAAAGATCCAACAATATCCTGTAAATGATGCCTAAGTTATGCTTGCAAGTTAATTTTTTTTATTCTCTATTTTGTATAATATAGAAAAATACACATTTAAATTGTATTCACAAATTTCAAATTATGTTCCATAAAATTATTATGTTTAAGGAAAGTGTGTGAAAAAGTATGACGTTAAAATAGGATGTATTTAGTATTAATTAATTTTTAAGAATTATGATTTAAATAAGGATTAAGCCATTCTTAATGTTTGGTATTTATTTTTAATTTATATACTTAGTATGCGAGTGATTAATTGATCTTCTAGTATTAAATTTGCTATTTTGCTGGTAATGCTGAGTTTAGTGTTTATACTTATTTTAATTATAATAATAAATAACAAATAATTAGTTCAAAAAAAATTTATTTTCACGTCAAAATGTTATCCTTTTCCATAATATATAATAACTAAAATGTCTATTTTATAAATAATAATATAATGAGAAAAAATTTCCATATAATATTAAACTAAAAAGTGGTTTTTTATATAGGATCTCTAGAGAAAATAATTGAGTAAAATAAAAACTTATTTTATATAATTGTGAATACTAAATTAACCAGATAAATTGTAATTATTAATGCCTTCATTGTTGTTATTTTCATCAACACCAAGTTTGTATATATCATCATTAATTTTACACATTTGATCGAGAAAATCTTTGTCTTCTAATATTTTTGCAACTGCTGATAGTATATTACAAAATTGAACCTTGGTCATCTTCAGATGTTTACTACTCGTATTTAGTATCTTTTCGACTTCATTGTCGACTTCCTAAAAAAAAAAAAAATAACAGAATTAAATAGGATTTAATTTAATATTTAGTTAGAGATTTCTTTACATTTAATGTAATAAATTTATTAGATGGAACTTTAATTCGGTGTTTAATTGTTGGATCTTGATCATCATCACAAAACAATGTGAATGTGGACTGTAGTGCTGCTTTAAAATAGACACCAGCCAACAAATGACCTTTGCAATTGGTGGCTAATAAGCTTCTAAAGTTGTAAACTAAATTTCGACGTTCAGTCACAGACACTGGTGAATGATAAGAAGCCCCTATGTATACTAAGTTGGTTTCTGGTTTTGTTGATCCATTCCATACAGACCATTGCACATACTTTTCACCGACCATTGTTTGATAACAATATTCTTTTTGAGGACAAGATGATGGTACAAAACGACCTAAAGATATATAAAGTTAAAATAAATAATACAAAACAATTTCAGTGAAAATAATTACCAGTATGAGGATATTGTTGATCAATCATTACAGTAATCACTCTACCAATCTGATAACCGGGATCCAACAATATCACACCACTACGACCATTGATTTCGATTTGCATTGCAACCATAACATGTTCTTTATCACTTACCCATGGGTCTGGATAATCATTACTAATGTATCCCTCATGACTCTAAATATTTAAAAAAAAAAAAAAAATTATATTTTAGATGAATAATTAGGTAAAAATTTACAATTAGTAAAATGTAAAATCGCACCTCTATAGCTTCTTCGCAGGACACCAAATAAAGGCTATTTTTAACACCAGGAAATTTGTTTTCCAACAATGCCAATCTACCAATCAATAACAAACCAAGTCCAACACAGGTGTTAGCATTTTTAGTTAATGGTGGTTTATATTTCCTAAAAAAGTACTCCAATGTTTCATATTTTCCATTTTTGAATTCATTATAAAATCTAAAACAGAAGTAAAATTTAAGTCTTGATATCATTACTGTATCATGTTTATATTCTATTTACTTGATGAAATTTGTTATTGAATCATAATTATGTGCCTGAAGTAATGTTTGTACTTCATTTTCAAATTGTTTAGTCAGCTCTTCATATTCCTCAATTGAGCTGACCACAAGGGGTGGCCTTGAACTACCCCATTTTGGTAAGGGCACTGGCTGACCAATTGGCCAGTCGTCCGCTTTCTGGCTATAGTTCAGCCAAAATGCATACTCGTCTTCATTATTGTGGTTGTCAGGAGAAGGCCGGGTTTCGAGTCAACTCGGCCATTCATTTCCCCATCTACCGACTGTTGGTATGTAGCTGGATTCATCCCTGTAGCAGCTGTCTTCTGCAGCGCCAACAGGTCCTTCTACTTCTAGTAATTTTTTCTCACGCTCTTTAAACATAAATAAAATAAATGTTTAACTACATATAGATTTAATTAATAAGTTTTTAAAAATGAAAAGTGAATTAAACTAACACCTGCATGTTCATTTAATCATAGTAATGAAAGAAAAAAGATTCTCAAAATTTGGCTTCAGAAAAAATAAATAATGTCTGACTGTAATTGGAATATTATTGTTTGCATTAAATATATACATTCAACAGTCTAACATATTTTATGTAATCTATATATTTAATAAAAAATAAAATGATCTTAACATAATAAAATATATTGATGTGTTATGAAGTTATACGTTAAAACACTCATTTATCATTATGTAATTATTATATAAATAATTTACAAAAACATTTTATAATACACTTGGAATATAAATCATTTTATAGGTAGGTACTTAAATTGTTCAAAAAATAAAAAAAGCAATAAATTTTTTTTTTTTATAACAATCAGTGTTGCCTATATTACTGCTTATAATATATTTTTTTAAATTTTAGATAAAAAAAAAAAAAAAATGTTTTGTAAATAGAATTTTATACGATGACTCATGACGTAATACTAATTCAGTGATGAAAACAATAAATTAACAATTTATAATAATTTCAGAAACATAGTTTTAAATTTGTATACGTTTGAATCAGATATGCAATAAAAATTAAAACTATACCAAACAATTAAAAAATAATCAATATTAATAATAACACTCATAATTAAATCTATTAATGACATGATTCATTAAAATATTAAACAAAATTAAATTGTTCACTTTAAAATTATTTGGGAATTAATAATAGTCAGAGATAAATTAGGTGTCATGAACTTTATTTTTGTTAATATTTCGGAGAAAAAACTAAGGAAAAATGCGATTAAATTCTAACATAATTTTATAAAATTACTGCGGAGTTTATGAAATTTAATACTTAGAATGATATATTATGAATATTATTATATCAATGATCCGTAATAGCATTGATAAAGTATACTTTTATTGAGTTAATAGTCAACACAGTTCGTAACCATATTTTGTAGTAGATATAAAACTGAACGTCATAATCGTTTCAACACAACACAACAGTTTTGAAACTCGTAGGATGCAATAATTATTAATTGAAAATTGTAATAGTTCGATAATAATATAGTTGATGGTGTGGGTACGGGTTAAATTCAAAGAAATTAATCAATATCATACGTCACATACGATAATTACATAAATATCGAAAGGCGTGCACAAATCGACAATTATTGTGGTGAACAACAATAAATGGCACTGGAAAGTGCAGGATTATGGATCATGGTACAAGAATATCAAAATCCAAATTGTAGACATAATTCATAATTGGGCCAAGGAATTCGGACTCACTCAATTCCACACTTTCCTAACTTTCAGAGGTAAAATACAGGTAGAAACATTGACACAGTTATGTACGTCCGTGACCGCGGTACATATTGTACCTACCTGTCAATTAAAATTTTAATATATTATTGTTACACACGGTCATGGGAATTGAACTGTATGGAAATCATACTATGAAACGGATTTGGTGGACAATATAGTTGTTAGTAGATGGCGGAAACGAGTGCGAGTAAAAACGACTTGCATCTACGCGATTCATCTGACATATTTCCATAATCGCATAATTAGGTAGGTATGACATGGTGGTCAACACGTACCTAGAGTAAAATTATCATATTTTGCTATGCCGAGTTCGATAAAATCATAATCAAAATGTTTGCAGTTATAAGTTTACAACCGACGCATTGCGCCATGGCCATAATCGCCACAGCTCAAGCGTATTACGTTACAATACTTATAATATTATTACTATTATTATGGTCGATACTTACCCATACAACGAAAACACACGACTTGAAGAATACCTTTGCACTCGTAACCGTTTGCGTCTATGAACAATCGTCGACTGATACTGGTGCTCGTCGGGTAACGAGCGGAAATATTTATACGGTTTTAAGTAACTGTGCACGGTGGGGAAGGGAATATGTACGACTCGAGTGGACTGGTTGCACGTTCCCCACTGCCTATAACCCGTTGTCTATGTAGAACGGCAAACAATAAGTAAACAAAACGAACGTTGGTGCAGCGGAAAGGAAAACGAATGCGTAACGCGTGAACACTAATTAATAGCGATTATTAAATGCTGTTTATTGCGCACTGCAGCAATCGTCGATTGCGCGAACCCGGACGGCCGCCGCGTGTCGGTGTTGTTAACAATTATAACAACCAATTACACACGCGTTTAAAACGAGACAATTCGACGTCCGAAGTCCAACAGTAACAATTGTACTGCAGTATGACGATCGCGACACGTTTATCGTGTGGAGATATCGTCATCGTTGTCGTTATTTGAACTATAAAATGGAACAATACGCACGAGAATTAATAGTATTTTTGTAAAAAGAACTGTGGCCGATGACACAAACTGGGAAAATAAAAAAAATTTGAATAGACCCGATGACCCGACGAGTGACGTACTGAGCACTATCCGTACCACCCGACGTAGTGGCGTTTTCTTATTAATTAAAAATATAGGGTATTATAAATTCGATCGTTTTCCTTACGATTGATAATAAGTGTGATAAGAAACAAGGAAAATTGCATAAGCTTGGAACGATGACAGTGTAGGCAGCTGAAAATAAAAAATGCCGCCAAATGTAAGAGTATTAAACTTTGCAACAGAAAAGGTCTTTTACCGACTTCTGTTTACTTTCAATCTTTCATAAATTATGTTACTCATCAGTCATCATAGTCAATTAAACAATTATATTAAAACCTAACATATTTAGTTCCGATTAATTTAGTTGTGGTTGCATGTATACTATGCGAGAACGACAAGTTTTGGATCTATAGTAATGGGGCATTTCTTAATCATGTAAATTATACGTATGTAATCGTTTATAATATATTATACACCTTTTTTATGTCTGTCGTAACTCGTAGTGAATCTGATTTAAAATATTTTTTCATGAAAACCAGTTAAAAATTAAATTAATTTATAATATATATAAGTGCGTCAATACTCAATATTATCATGTGATTTACACGAACCTATATTAATTATAGTGAAACCGACGTTTCCGCCAATGGTACATAAAATAAATTCGAAGTATTAATTTATGTTGACTTAGTCAATTAAATATAGAATTGAATATGACCGTATGTACTATTATAATAATACGTATATTATGTGATGGTTTGTCTTCATAGAGTCTTATAACAGTAAGGCATATTATATAGGTACATAAAATATAATTATTATATTAGATTAAACGTTGTGAGAATTATATTTAATAGTCGTTTGAATGTTAATGTTTTGTGCATTGACACAAGATTTTACATATTATCTATAATAAATATTTATTATACAATTTACAGAGTTCTTCAAACAATAATGAGTTTACAGCTTTAAAGAGATAGATAAATCAATAATTTTGTATTGTAATTCAAGTTATATGCTATGTAAGTACTTATTTTAAATAGATAAAAAAAGTTATTTTCATTCCAAAATATTTCCATTACATTTTAATAAGCAATTATATTTTATCAAATGATCACGTAACATTATAGTGTTTGAAATGATATAATTATCAGGATTTCTATCTTGAATTAATTTAATTACCTTTTTGAATAATAATAATAAAAAAAATTCGAATAAGGTGATTGATGATTTATGTATACCCATAGCTGTAAAATGTTACATAACATATAATTAGTGTTACTCAGTAGCAGAATATCGGGATTTTTCCGGTAACCACTGCTGATACTGGGTAGCGGGCTATTATTTATTATAATCAATAATTAGGAGCATAACTGTTTTATGGCTGTACAGAAAAATATATTTAATAATATTGATGGTATTATTGAAATTATTGTTAAAAATTAAAGTGATTTTTTAGAAAGGCCTGAATTTTTATGTGAAAATATTATTGAACATTTACATATTTATACACACAAAATTTCAAAAAAATATCACATGTATAGATTTATTATTGAAAATTTTTAACTTTTTTCTAGTGCACTATAGTTTATATCGCATATTTTAAACAAGAATTTTTTCCAGATGACGGATTTTCTTCAATACTTTAATTGTCTATGTTTATACTCCACACAATTTTTTTTTCTAATTGCCGTGTACTTTGGGTTTTTTGTCAATACTTACGGTAGTTTAAGTTTAGTAAAATATGTACCTCTTCTCTATCAATTAACCTAGTGTATGTTCAACAATTTGAATTAACACTAGTAATTGATCTAAAGCTTATTTAAGTAGGGGGAGAATTGATATTATTCTCAACACATGGTAAGTTATTTTAAATAAAATTTTCTAATTTAAAATAGTATAAGTTTTTAAAAATCGGATTTCTATTGTTAAATTGTGTTTTTTCATAAATTGTATACAAATATTTTTGTATCTTGTACCTACATAATAAATAAATAAGCAATAAAATACTAATAATACTATTTCTTTAAAAAATCTATTGAAATTATCAATCAAAAATTAATTACTTAAATTAATTTATATGTATAACCTAATCATTTAAAACATATTATACTATACGATTTAATACGATATACATTTGTAAACAAAACTTTTAAAAGGAAAGAGTATAGGTTATAATTTATTGAATTAATTAACAATTATTGTGCATTTCCATAATTTCATTATTAGCGCTTGTTTGATAAAACGATTGCAACGAAAGTAACAAATATGTTGTTTGTAATGTTTAAACTTATTCTTATCCTTTTACTAAATTACTATGTGTATAATTCATAAAGGAATTGCACCATTTCGTGGCATGACAGGTGCATGGTATTCTGTAAACACTTGCGTGCACATAATTTAATATCAAGTACAA